AGAAGAATAGACAGCAAACAACTAAGTATGTCTTATGGAAGGAGAACCTGCTAAGGAAAACTCTGGATGGGCTACTACTGAAATGTCTAGGCCAAGAGGAATCTATGAGAGTAATGGCCGAGGTACATGAAGGGATATGTGGGGCACATCAAGCTGGAACGAAGATGAGGTGGTTGATTAGGAGGTATAGGTATTTCTGGCCTGACGTAGAAAAAGACTGCAAGTCTTATGCCCGAGGCTGTGAGGAATGTCAAAGGCATGGACCCCTCCAACATGTGCCTTCAGTACCTTTAAATCCGGTGGTTAAACCTTGGCCCTTTAGAGGATGGGCAATGGACTTCATCAGGCAGATTTATCCATCTTCTAGCAAGGGGTATACTTTCATAATTGTGGTGATGGATTACTTTACCAAATGGGTAGAAACCTCAGTTGTAAAGACCATAACTTCAGCTGTAGTCAAGAAATTTATTGAGACCAAGATTCTGCACAGGTTTGGGGTGCCCAAAACCATAATCACAGATCGTGGGCCATCTTTTATATCAAAAGAAGTTAAAGAGTTTGCAAACAAATACAAAATAAAGATGATCCAGTCCAGTCCTTACTACCCTCAGTCAAATGGTCAAGTAGAGGCCAGCAACAAGATTTTGATAAACATTATCAAAATGATGGTGACAGATAGCCCGGAAAAGTGGCATGAAAAACTAGGGAATACTTTGTGGGCATACCGAACCTCTAAGAGGGCAGGAACGAGGACAACTCCTTATGATTTGACATTCGGGCAAGATGCGGTTCTTCCCATGGAAATCAATGTAAGTTCTGTCAGGATTCAAAATCAATTCGGGTTACATAGTGAAGAGTGCATAGAAGCTATATGTCAAGGGATTGAAGATTTAGATGTAGCCCGAATTGAGACCTTGAACCAGATTCAGGAATGGAAGAGAGTTGTTGCCCGAGCTTATAACAAGAAGGTAAAACTGAAGTCTTTCAAGGAAAGAGATTTAGTATGGAAGGCAGTCCTCCCTCTAGGAGCTCAGCTTAGGCACTTTGGGAAATGAAGCCCGACATGGGAAGGTCTTTTTTATTGTTAATCAAGTATTAGACAATGGAGGATATTACTTGGTTGACCTCAAAAGAAATTGGCAGAAACATCCCATTAATGTCAAATTCTTAAAAAAAGTATTATCCTACATTATGGGATGTTAGGGATTGTTATATTGAAGAAAATGAAAGATAAAGCAGGTGTTGGGGTGTTGGAATGCAGTGTAGTCATCAACCATTCAAGAAGACAGAATGATAAAAGTTGTTAAAATGATGCTTCATTCATTTCGACGAATTGGTAAAAATTACACCGGATTAAGTCCCAATGTGCCATGTTTCATTCCTTCTACGTTGTGTTGGTGTCACGACTAGTTTTCTGGTATCTTTATGGACAAAACCTGGTCAGGATCAGGTGATCGGGTTGTGCGACCAAGATGAGCTTGGTAGAGGACCCTCAATAAGGATCGTCACCAGATATGATGGTGAAGCCTAACTTATCAAAACAACGAGCAGGAGGGCAAGCCCTCAAGAGGAAACCGCCTGACCAAAGGTGTTGGGGATAGCGGGGTGTCTGACCAAAGGTGTTGGAGATAGTAGTTATTTAATGAAAATCCTTTTTCTCACGAAAAAAGAGTTTTAGGAAACCCCACTTGAATCCGGAGGAACCCATTTTCCAGTTTTAAAAGAAAACTAAGAAGGCAGAAACGTCCGAGGGTGATGAAAGAGAAGGTTGAAGATGATATATTGGCTGGGCAGGAGAAGTTTTAAGCCGGAATTTATAGGAACCTCAAAGGATAACTCAAAGGTCATGAGAAGAGAAAGAGATGCAAGATTGCATTCATCCCGTCTAGAAAACACAAGTTCCAAAAGCAGGTATACAGGCATGCGGATATTCAATCAATATTGGCGCCTGGAATTCCAGCCTGAATATTAATTGAAGGGGGCACTGTTTGGGATAAAACTTGAACCTTGGGTTAAAAAGGGGTTAGCCCAAAAGAAAGCCTAAAAGAAGGTTCAGAAGAAGGAAAAGTCCAAGGCCTAGCAGAAGCCCAGAAGAAAGAATGAGCTTGTTTCCCGACCAAGTGCAGATCATTCAAACCACCTGCTCACCTACCTAGAGGTCAAGTGGTGTAGACCAGCCAGCTAATCAACCCAAAAGTACTTTACAATGGCAGTACAAGTAAAAAGCTGATGAGTTACTGTCCTTCAGATGCATTTAGGCAAAATCAATACTACAGGTAGCCAAGCCAAATCGTCTATAAAAGGAGGAAGAAAAATCAGAGACAAGGACACTCAATCAAACAAACAAATACAAGCACAAACTCTGCTTAAACCAAATTTTCCTTCACGAAGCTGTAGTCAGCCCCCAAGCCTTCATCCCTTTCAAGATCAACATTCACCAGAAAGCCTTTGTAAAAGCTCTGCTACCCTGTTTAAATCTTGTTGTAGTATCGATTCCCTCATATAAACTCATCTTCCAATCTCCCTTTCTAGCATTCAAACCCTTTGTAAATCACAAAGAGAGGAAGTTGCAAGACGATCAGCCTTACCCGACAAGGTGAAACCTTGCCCGACCTCCTTTGTTTTTTATCTTTCATTCATATATCTAGTAATATGATGTATATTTCCATCTGCATCCAAGTTATTTCTAGCCAGTATATGATTAAAAGACTTCTAAGTTCTAACCATTCGGGCAGACAAGATTGATCAATTAAAAGTCCTTGGTCTCAAGGCATAAAAAGAACCCTATGTAGACTTAACCCATCCACGACAGTCCTTAATAACAAGAAGTCCGAAGTTACTTGGGGCGCAAGTAATTGGATTATTCTCTAGTTTTACTTCTGTTATATCATGATTGCTACAGAACGCTTGAGTATAGAATTAACTCTGATAGGAAGCCTCAAGGCCTATACCTAAGGCCCGATAAAGGCACCTATCTGAATTTGTTCTGCTCTGCGGGCTCGGGCGATTAAAGTAGAACGGTTGTGATAATTCTGCAACAATGAACCACCCAATATATGTTCAAGTATTTGGTTAGTTTTGACCGGAAGCCTCAAGTCCTACACTTAAGGCCCCACAAAGGCACCTTTTATAACTAACTTGGTCTCTCGGACATATATATACAATAAAACTTAACATCGGTTTTACATCTATCATACTAAAGATGGCAGTGGCACGCCTGGGTACTTAAAGTTAATTTTGATTATGAGCCTCAAAGCCTACATCTAAGGCCCCACAAAGGCACCTTTCAGAATTAACTATGTCCTTCTCTTACAGCCCGCCAATAAGCAGAAGCCTGACAGACAACATTAACCGGCACCAACCTCTCGGGGAGCTGTGTGCTCGTTGACCAGGAAAATTCCTCACTGGATATTCCTTAAGACGAACAATTACATGTTGCCTTTAGAGACTCAAATAATTGTCTAAACATATGTCATTTGATATATATGCTTACACGACCTATTGTTAAAGGCCAAATAACCAAGTGGACCATAATACTGTCAAAATTTACTCTCCAGTATGTTTCTCATAAGGCGGTGAAATGACAATCATTAGATGCTTCTTAGCGTGTCATTCCTCTCCATATGGTTTTGGGGGCAAGGAAGTCGAGATCGGCATGGTCCAAATGCAAAACAAATTTTGGACTACATATTTCAATGACTCTAGTACTGAGTCTTCGGAAGGTGTGGGGATCGTCATTCAATCACCAAAGCACCTTGTTGGTTGTTTGATTTCAAATTTAACTTAGAATGTACCAACTACTAAGCCAAATATGAGGCTCTTGTGATCAGTCTTGGGTTACTTCATGATCTTAAGGCAACTCGAGTTCTCGTACTTGGTGATTCAGAGCTTATGATTAACCAAATTAAGGGCATTTTCCATTGCATGAGTTGCACATTAGCTCCATATCACATGGTCTACCTATTTGGCCAGTGTGTTCTCTGTCATCACCTTCAAGCACATTTCCTAAACTAAGAATGGTGATGCCAATGAACTCACCCAAATCACCTCTGACCCACAACTCTCTAATGGCGAGATGAGCTGGGTTATAATGGTCGAAAAATAGTTATTCTAGGCTCTGGTTAATCAACAAACCCACCATAAAGACAGCTTGATTAGAACTAGGGTGATGTCATTGCCACCTTTGGCAGATCGAAAGGTGCCAAAGGACATCTGCGCCATCGAAGTGATACCATCATACTGAAGACGACCAATAATGTAGTATCTCAACAATCCAGGGGCCAAACATGAACCAAAATGTCAAGCATCATGCCACGAAATGCACCGTGTACCAAAACGAGCTCTCAGAAAAGGCGAAGGTGACCTTTTGTTACTTTTTCTTGGATATACCGAGGCTGCCCGAGTAATGAGATAAATACATAAAGGGATCTGCGGTGCTCATCGGTTAAGCCGAATGATGAGACAGCTTATTTGACGTCATGGTTATTTCTGGCCAACAATCTTAAAGGTGTGTGTTGTTGTACTTTTATGCGTAAACGGAAGCGAATTCTAACAAAGTACCAATATCAACGTCATAGGTGAAAGCTAAAACAAACAATCTCAAATTACCACAAGAGATTTACATGGTTCGGCGTAAAGCCTATGTCCACGAGCAAAGCACGGCGAGGAATTTCACTAAACAAATGGAGATTACAAAAGAGTGTTTAAACTCTCGCAACCCAAATCCCACAAATTACAAACCCTAAACCAAACAAGTAGAGAACCCAAAACTAACGGAGAAGATTCTCCCAAATTGCTCTCGAACTCACAAACTCACAAATTGGCTCTCACCAAATTGCCACACGAATGAGCCACACAAAATACACTAACCCTAAGATCCTATTTATAGTGCATAGGACTTAGGTTATAATAAGAATCCTAATAGGAAGTAAATCCAAATCCTATTTATACGGTGAGTATATTATACCGCAGGTTACAATATTATTCTAAAAACATACCAATACAAGTAGAACCACACTACATTTATAAATCTTAAGCGCATTTCAGTAGTCATGCAGAATTTTACAGATACAAAGTTTAGCAAACTACTGAACATTATTCTACTTGATACGCTAGAAAGATATCAAGCTGTCCTCGGAGTTGCGCGAAGAGGGAGACCTCCATCCATGTGTAGGGTGAACATGGTCCTATAGGTTACATTTTTTGTTTCGTCAGCCAATTTGAAGCGGAAGAAGAAAAGAAGAGCGGTTGATACTATCTTCATCTGCCGGTATGCAAAGTCTTTCCCTAGACAGATTCGAGGTCCTGCCTGCAATTAGCACGGTTAATTGAAACCATTACTGACAGTTTAGATAGACTAAGCAATTAGCATTTTTATTCTTTCACATGATACTAACATGAAATGCGACAAATTTGAATGGTGATTCAGGCTGGAAAATTCCATTTTTGAGCCATCTTTCAGGTCGGAAATCATCAGCATCTTCTCCCCAAATATAAGGCATTCTTCCCATGGCATAGGCCATGTAGTATACTCCATCTCCTTTTCTCAATCTAAAGCCATCAGGAAGAATGTCATCTACCTCTGCACATCTCCCGTCCTTCGAGGAAGCCAAACACAAAGACATCAAACTACATATCAAACTTCCATCCCAGAAAAATGCTTAAACTTCACTAACTCATTGGAAAATGATTAATACTAAGTTATTTGAATATACGTACCACAGGAACTGCAGGGTATAGCCTCAAGGTCTCTGTTATCGTTGCATGAAGATAATGCATTTTATCAAGATTTGCATCAGTTATGTTTTCTACAAGTTCATCAATGTTAGCTTCGTTGACCTGAATAGTAATACCGACAACATCCCTCACTTCGTGTGCAACTTTTTCTTGTATTAGAGGGTTCTTCGTAAGCATGTACAAGAACCATGAGAGTGTATTTGCACTTGTATCTTTGCCAGCAATCATAAAGTTCAGAATTATATCCCTCAGATATGTGTCATTCATTTTCTCGGGATCCTTCTCGCTCTCCAACAGAAACCTCGATAGTATGTCCTCCCTGTCATTCTTCATAAATAAAATATAATTCAAGATTTCCATTAACAAATTTGAATCTTTAATGAGAAAGATTGCAGTGCAAAGAAAATGAAAGATGTCAAGTTACTTACAGCATCAGTTTTCCCTGTAACCAACGTCCTCTTACTCTTGATAAGTTGGTGTACAAAATCATCCATGATTCGGACATTCTTTCTAAGAGCTGCTTCAGAACCAATATTTAGAACTCGCTTCAATTTCCAGAATGGATCGACAAAGCGCCAATAGGACAGGGCGGTCGAATCATCAAAGGCCTTCATAAATGCAGTCCCTTCCTTGCTTGAACCCTCCAAGCAATTCAGGTCTATTCCAAACCCTACTTTGATTATGGAGTCTAAAGTGCACCTCATAAGAATATCCTGCAAAATGAATCATTTGCAAGAAAACCTAAATCATATTAAGCTTAATTCTGGCCAGACTGATTATTCAAGCGATATTCTAATGTAATCTAAACTATAGGGAGGAGGATTGGAACCTGGTCAGCCCTATCATTAAGTAGCTACTAAAATGATTTATTGGTTTCAGATTACTCACTTGCATATCAAAACTTTGATTGGAACCCAAAATCTCAGAAACAACTCTAACCAGTTTGGCAGAATTTCTTCTAAACACAGAACAGCTAAAATCTCTAAGAACTCTGGTCGAAAACTCAAGGCTCGCAAGCTTCCTCTGCTGCTTCCACTTTTCTCCATCAACAACAAATATCCCTTGGCCAAAAACATCAGACACAATATCTTGGTTGTACTTCCCTTTGGAATACTTGGCGAAGTTGGTTTTCAAAACATGCTCGATGTTTCGCATGTCAGTGGTGTATACTTCACTTTGGTCTGGAGTAAGCAGCCGAAAAGTTGGCTGCTCTTTGGCAACTTCGGTCTGGTAGTCATAGAGCCTGTTGAAGTAGAAGAGCTGGTCGAAGACGGTGCCTTTTACTGGCGGGTAAATTGGGTTTCTAATGGATTTTCCTGTGAAGATTTTAAGTAGCAGAAAACAGAAGGTGAGGATGACAAATAGTACTGAAAATAATATGAAGGTGAATATGAAATAGAGAATACTCATCTTTCCTGGTTGGTTAAAGAGGCAAAGACAGTCTATATATAGGGAAATCCAAAAGTGTCAACCGTATAAGATGTCTATCAAGTGGATTATCGTTTAAATTTCAGCTAAAATTAACAGTCTGACAACATAATATATTGAGTTGTCGGCGAAGGAAAAACATTATCTATATGTGTAACGGGAGGAAACGTTGCTATCTTAGGTTACATCTATGAAAGTGAAATCAAGAGAAAAAAATGCAAGCAGAACATCAACGTTGGTTTATTATCTTATTCAATGATCTTATTGTCAAAATAAGACAATAAGAAAAGGATAACTACCCATGAGAGTTGAAATAGCAGTCCTGAGTTCCCTATGGCTGATCGTGGCCGTCGATCTGCTAGCGAGCGGACATCCGGATCTTGATTGTAAGAAGTTCGGATTGAATCAACGGTTGTGATCTTTTAGCTATAGCAGTTGATTCCTTGGATAACGAGGACAGTGTAGCTAACCAGCTCCAAAGCTTTCTTGCTGATGAAGATTGGTGATTCACTACTTTCCAGCTAAGAATTGGACCCTTTCTTCTAATTTCCCCAAATAACAGTAAAGTCAGTCTTGTTAAGAATTGGACCCTTTCTTCTAGTTCCCATACTTTCCACTTCAGTCAAGGGCACGTTCGGATTGATCGATTTGCGAGTAGGCTTAAAAATATCACAAGCCCAAAATTTAGGGCCAGTCTTAACCCACTTCAATACTATGTTGACATCTCGGAGAGTCGGCATAGCGGCCTACTATCTTGGACTTAACATCGTGACATTTGGGTCAGAAATTGCTACACAACATAAATTTGGGTTATATAAATGTAAAACAATTTAGTTTATGATTCGAGAAGAGCATGTTCTCTTTATGATTAGCTATAATTTCTATTTACCAAAAGAGGAACAAAAGAGGATTATAATCATGGGTATTGATTAGAATGAGAGATGTGATTTAGTATTAGGGTCAAATACCAACATGAGTAAGGGGTTTCTAGTTGTCTTGTGTTTTAGACAATTAATGGATCGTTTAGATATACTTTTAAAATGATTGAAAACTCTTTTAGAGAAAATATTTTTGAATTTCAAAAACACTTAAATGCTTTTTGCAAGAAGCACTAATTATGTGTAGGAAATAATTTTAAGTGTTTTTCCAGGATTTACTTGTATCTTTACTAATTTTAGATTCTAAAAACATTTTCATCATAAACACTTTCAGTCATTTCAAAATCACATCCAAATGAGTTCTTAATCGTGACCTAAATCCTAAACATAAATCTACCATATCAATCAGATGCGACTACGGGAAACGAATAGAAACCCGGGGCTAAGATTCATGTCTCAACTTCAAGCGACTCACCCAATGTAAATACCCTGCCATTTGGGTTTAAATGGTACCAATTTTTAAATTTGGTCTCAGATGGATATCCAAGCAGCGGGGTTGGGAAAGCTTGACTATTTGACTGAAGAACCGCCTCAACCGGATAAAACCGATCCCGGATTCTCAAAGTAGAGTACTGAAGATGCAGTTGTGAAGGGTTGGTTACATGACTGAGTCCTCGAACCACTGCAACGACCGATCATACCACACTTTGATGATCTTGCAATCATCGGAAAAAGACCTACTATGAATCGCCGCCAATTAACGTTGAGCTTCCACCGTATAATTCTTAGCTAGCACACAAACCACAAAATCACCACCTCATATTTAAACAACAATTGTCGTTGTTGGGCAGTAAGTCCGTTACAAAAGCTCTCATCCTCATAAAGAGAGTGACCACAATGACAACTACAAAGGCTCTCCTCAACAGAGTGAGAGAGCGGTTACAACCAAAAACAAGAAAGAAAGAACAAAAGGATAAAGAAGGATTGTTGCCGACCCCAAGGTCAAAGGCTGGGGTCTGCGGCGACATGTTTCTCTTTGGTTTTTATTTTTCCTCTTGTGGCTAGGGTTAACGAAAGAGCACGAGAGTGTCTTTAAGGCCTAGTTTGGCATGCCGTATTAGACACCGAATAGTACTAATTAATACTAGCTATTCGATGTTTGGTGTTATTCTGTATTAAATTAGCATCGGATTATTTTACGACCCCACCTATTTTGTACAATGCACACCAGATAACTTATACGAAGAAGGATTCTCTTCCCTCCTAATCTCTCTTCCCTTTTCTCCCTTCCGACTTGAACGGTTACGATTAAATCACGTCAACATCTTATATTGATTGTTATATAGAGACAATAAGACAAAAATGAGTGTGAGAAGGGAGGGAAGATGATGAGAATAGGAGGAGAGAGAATCCTCCCCCAACTTATACACTCCAAATCCCCGGTATTATTAGTCGGGCTGTTAGAAACAAAATCACGCTGGCTTTTTTCCATCTCCCTCTCGCAGATTACTCTAGGGCCATTCGATCCATCTTCTCAACCAATATTCCTTCTTCTCTCTCGACGAAGAAGAAATTGGAGTTTTGAGGGTGCGGCTGTGTATGGTTATTGGGTGGTGGAATAAGTTGGAATTAGGGCAAATCGATGAACAGGTCTCGAGCGTTGGCAAATACTCATGGCAACATCCATGGCCTTAAATTGGAAACTCAGTGCCATTGAATGTTCTTCAATCTCCTTTTGAGGAAGTAGATGAATATGATAAGTTTTTATTCTTTGTGCAGCGGCAACTTTTATTACTAGAAAGAGGAAGAAGTGTAGAGAAAAATAAGTCCAAGATGAATTGAGTTTTTTTTTAGGAGTAATTAGGTTTTCATCCTTATTTTTACTACTCTATTGATTAAAACCTTATTACTTTTCAATTTTTGATCAAGGTCCTTTGTATTAATAATATCATTAATTATTTCAATAATAAAATATTTTTTATTTATAAATATATTCATTTAATATTAAAAATGTTACAATTAGTATATTTATATTTATGGCTAAATATTTTATCATATATTTTTATTTTTAGTTTGTACCCATTTTTAATTTGCAACCCTTTTTTAATTTGTACAAATTTTCCTTTCAATTTTAATTTGTACCCATATATTAATTTCTTTTTGTGCCCATATTTTTTAAAGTTTTATTTGTATTGTACCCATATTTTTTTTATTTATTTGTACCCATTTTTATTTTTGCTAAATGTACCCATGTTTTGATACAATAATTTTTTGGTTATTTTTTATGAATGTACCCATGTTTACACACACACACACACAATAGTATATTTATATTTTAATATTTTTAATCCCACAAATTATGTTTTTTATTTAAAATCTCATTAATATAAACAACTATAAATTTTAATTTTTAATTTAAAAAAATATAGTAACGTACATAGAAATAAATTATCAATTAATTTTAGGGACTTGGATCAAAAATTGAAAACCAACAAAGTTTCAGTCAAAGATTGTTCATAACTAGGGACCGCATCCAAAGTCTCCCTTTTTTTTAACTAAGAAAGATCTAATCAATGCTCTTTAATTGTTTATACCCTTAAAAAAATATATAGGCATTATTTTTTTCATAAAAAAATAGGTATTTAATTTGATATTGTACCAAACATCCGACTAAATAGTCAGTACTATCTGATGACAAATTATTCTATCTGACTGAAATAGTCATTACAATCCGAGCTATCAAACGAGAACAAAAGTTATAGCTTTCAAGTGATTTTTTACTCGTTCGTTAGAGACAGTCCGAGCTATCAAACGAGGACTAAAGGTATAGCTTTCAAGTGATTTTTTACTCGTTCGTTAGAGAGACAGCGTGTCTTTTTAACCCTAAAAATTTGAAGCGGGCTAAGTTTAACCACAAAAGAAGTGAGAATGATTAATTAATTTTGTATCCTTTAACCGAGCCACTTAGTACTACAGTCTAGTAGTATTCTTCTTCACTTGTAAGTGAGAGGTCTTAGGTTCGATTCACGCCAAATGCGAGTTTGAACCACATTACTGCTAACATATTGCGAGACTAAGCCTACCCCCTCCCCCTCAATGTAGATAATATCATTTGTTCAAAAAAAAAAAAAAAAAAAAAAAACTTGTATCCTTAACTTATCTTTGTACAATTCATCACTTTTAAATTCATGTTTAGTTACAAGTCCCGTGATTCGATATCAATAATACTAGCTAGAAATTAAATTATGTAATTTTAATGTCACATGTTGGCAAATTGTGATCTCTGTCATAATCATAAATAGGAAGCTTTTATGGGAAGTAAGCTCTATTGTTTTTTGTTTTTTTGTATAAATATAAGAATTAGTTGTAGGCCACATACCACATCGAATTTTAACGATCTGAACCGTCTATTTTTCAAGTTGCACCTCATAAATTATCCTTACAAAATATTAACCAAATTGGAAATATTTGAAGCATCTAATTGGGTTAAAAAAATTTGACGAACATTTTATTCTCCAAGAAACAATGAAACTTCATTGTGATAATTAAATGTGCAAATAATTTCGGATTGATTTGATTTTTGCAAGATTGATATATGAATCGAGACTTACAAAATAGATGATTTGGATCGGTGAAGTTCAATGTGGAGTGATTCCCACAACTAATCCATCCCTTCTCTTAGAGCATCTTCAAAGGATACGTCAAATTCAAAACATCAAATTTAAATTTGATGGCTGACTTGGCAATTTGACATATTGTCAATATTTTCCTTCCACCAGTATGCCAAATTTTATTGCTTCACTTATGTTTTTTTTTTAAACATAAATAATAAAAGTTGGGTTGTTATTGGTTTAAAAATAATAAAATAATACTTAAATGTGCTAGCATTTATGGTAAGGCAAGTGGAAATCCTTTAGAAATAGCAAAAATCAAATTTGAATGTAACTTCAAATTTGACATCTCTTTGTCTATGTTAGCTTAGTCTTCTTTTCCATGTCATCTTTGATATCTCGGTTGGAGTAAATGGTATGTCATTTATTACCGTTATATATTTAAGTGACATTTTTTACAACTCCTTTGAAAATTATCCTAAATGTCTGATCATAAATACTCTGACCATTTAAAATTGAGTAATGCTATGTAGATTAAATTTGAAAACTAAATAATATATCACCAATAAGAAATAAGTGCATGTTAATTAACACTTAAGTAATAAATCAATCATCAACTTCCATGTCGTTTAATTTACAAAATTTTATCAACAAATTTAGTTTTTTTATCCTTACCCTTTAAAATTTAATTTCCGCACTAAAAAAAAATAAAAATAAAATTCTCAATTTCTTGCCCGCGCCGGCGTCTGAAATGGCTAAAAGCGCCCTAAAGAATGACTTTACAGGGAATTTTCCGCAGTCTCGCGGAAACGGTAAGAATAAAAGCCCTCTCTCTCTCTCTCTCCTTCCTCCTCAACCCAATTAATCGGCATGTATTCGTTTCAAGCATGAGCTTCCTTAAAGGACTTATCGATTCTTTCGGCTCCGTCTTCTCCGCCGCCTCCTCCGACGAGTCTCACCCTAACTCCAGTCCTCCGCCCGATTCCTCCACCATGGACGGCGTAGCTGGCCCATCTTCCGTCTCCAACGAGCGTGTCGCATACAAGCTCAAGGGCTATTTCGAATTGGCGAAGGATGAGATCGCCAAGGCCGTTAGGGCTGAAGAGTGGGGGTTAGTCGATGACGCCATTGCTCACTACAGCAACGCCCAGAGGGTTCTCGTCGAGGCCACCTCCACTCCCGTGCCTTCCTATATCACCCTCAGGTTTTCAACTTTCTGAGCTCTGTGTTCTTATTCTTGTGCTTTTCTTCTTCTTTGATTATTGTTGAAGTGTTGCTGAAGTTGTTAGTCTGAAAAAATTGGTGGCTAGTCTTCAAATTTCTGTTTATGCATCAAAATGCCGAGACTCTTGATTTTGTGGATATGAAAGTTTGATTATTTATGTGTTAGATACAAAATTACATCTTTCATTGAAAACGTAGGAGAGTGAGGGTGATTAAACAAACTCCTCAAGATAAACTTTTGAGGTAAAGTTGGAAACAGTGTACAAAATATTGTTGGTTGATAATTTCGGAAATCAAGCAAGTGTTCTAATGTGCAATGGAGAATTTGAAAAGATGTGGAAACAATATTTAATTCATCATCTATTTATAAAGCGCTTCATCACTTAAAATAGGTTTCAAACCATGACTTCGTATGTTGGCTGAATCTGCCCTTCGAAGGATAGTTACCCAAAAGTCAGTCACGGTTCATACTGCTAAGGCCCCGTTTGGGATTGAGGTGATTTTAAAAAAAGCCACTGTAAAAAAAAGCTGAGGGTCATTTTTGTGTTTGGTAAACTGAAAAAAAGGGCTTATTTTGGAAGCTGCTGTGAGAATAAGCTGAAAATCAAAGGAAAAGCTGAAGCTGCTATTTGCTGCTTTGAAAAAAAGCCAGTTTTTTCAAAGCACACGGAGCTACAGTGCTCCTTTAATGAAAAGACACACTATCATCCTGCTTTTTTTTCCAAAAGTACTTTCACAAAAAAGTTTACCAAACACTCTACTGGCTTTATTTCACAGCCGCTTATTCTCAAAGCACAGCCGCTTATTCTCACAGCAGCTTTTTTTCAAAGCACAGCAATACCAAACCAGCCCTAAGTATCAAGTCAGTCACAGTGATTAATGTTGTAGAATATGAACTTTAATTTGGAATTCATTTGCGTAAACTGTGAAGTATCTTTCAATAGGGCAAATCAGCCCACAAGTATGGTTTGCCTCCTATTGTAAGAGATGAAGATCTTTATAAATAGCTGATGAATTAAATGTTGTTTACACATATTTTCTAATTCTTCAGTGCAGAATAGAACACTTGCTTTAAATTCCCAAATCTATTCAACAAAGTTGTGAGGAACAAGAACAAACATAATTTGAAGCCTCTTTCAAACTTTACCTCAAAAATTACATCTTAATGAGTTTGTTAGGAAACTGCCCACAAGGTTAACAATTTCAAAAGGGGTTAGAATACCTATGGGACTTACTACGAAATTGTCTCGGGGTGTACAAAGAAACCAACCATAACCAATGAAATTATTAAAACTGCATTCATTTGTCACCGAAATCATTAAAAATCATTCACAAAGAGTGAATAACCACACTGTTTTTACTGCTAAATATGAAGTCAGTCCTGATGACATGCTGAGATGCTCGTGCATTGTAGTTATCATAAAAATATGTTATTTTGTGGCAGTGAGAGAGAGAAGGTGAAATCTTATCGTCAGAAAATATCAAAGTGGCAGGGTCAAGTTTCTGAAAGATTACAAACTTTAGGCAGACGAACAGGTCATATCACGTACTGATTCAACTTAACTGAGCATTGTTTTCAAACTGATATCCATACTTGGCAAGTGACTTTGTTTCTTTCTTTTCTTTTTCCTTGTCCTTATTTCAGGTGGTGCGCCCATGAGCAAAGTATGGTTGGTCTGGTTTGAGAGTTCTATACATTTTTTTTGTTCCTTTTCAGTTGAACCATAATTTATTTTTTAATAAATGCACTTTATGGTGATCTGAAGCATCTAATCTGTTTAGAAAAATGAAAGGAAACAGTTGAGTATTTGATAAAATTCAAGATTACTACATACTCTGTGTAGCTAAAAAATTTCAAAATATATGCAGAACACCTTAGCTCATGCACAAACTGCTTCAGTTGCATCACCAACATCAACTGCCAGAAAACATGTGTTACCCCAGTCTCCACGTGCCACTACAAACAGACCAGAAATGAGGAATCAGGCCAATAACATTGTAAGCTCAAAACCTGTGCAACAGTCTGGTGGTGGTTATGATGAAAAATTGGTTGAAATGATAAATAGTGCTATAGTGGATAGAAGCCCTTCCGTTAAATGGGAAGATGTTGGTGAGAAGTTTATAACATACTCCCTATTTATTCTTTTGGTAAGTTTGTTAAGATTACCAAGTTACTCATTTTAGTTTCTCTACAGCTGGTCTTGAGAAGGTGAAACAAACTTTGATGGAGATGATTATTTTACCCACAAAAAGAAGAGACTTGTTCACTGGTCTTCGAAGGCCAGCTAGAGGTAATGCTTTGTAAGATTTCACATCTTTACTTGTAAAAGTGAAACAGCCAAAAAACTTGTTTCATATATAACTTTCAGGTTTGCTTTTGTTTGGTCCACCTGGAAATGGAAAAACCATGCTTGCAAAGGCAGTTGCTTCAGAGTCAGAGGCAACATTTTTTAATGTCTCTGCATCTTCCCTGACTTCAAAATGGGTATGTCTCTGTCTTGAGGGATGCACTTTCTTTTTTCAGTTCATTCCCTTTTTTCTTTTCCGCTATTGCCCTTATAGGAATTCTTATAAGCTTTACTTGCACTGAAAAAGGTGGGAGAGGCTGAAAAGCTTGTACGAACTCTCTTCATGGTTGCTATATCCAGACAGCCATCAGTAATTTTCATGGATGAAGTATGCTACTTTTCCTCTGAACTCTGAAATTTAGATTCAATTTTTGAACACGCCCTGACTTCCCCTGTATCTGTTATTGATTCTGTTATTAAGTAAGCTATTTCTTGCTTGTACTCGAAGACTGTATAGTTGGTTAGGAGAAATTGGATGTATGATCAGTGGTTAGCATGAGGTAATTATCTCTCTTTGTGTTTGTTGTTTTTATATGTCACTGCTTTCTCAGTTTTTTTAGCGCTCGCGCTACTGCTGATTTTTCTCAATTGTATCACTTATTATTTGATTTTAGTCATCTAGATCGCATATAGCCATTATAGTTAAGTGCCGTAAGTTTCAGGATTTTGGGTTTGTTAGTAAATAGTTAATGTAAAGATTACATATTCATAGTTGAGAGTGTTTCGTGGAATGAGTCAACATGACACTTTTCTGAATTTCCGTTCAACTTGCATCTCTGTACCTGCTGTCACAAATGCCTCTGAGATCATAGACTATTTCCACCATTTTCATCTCCACCGTATTTTTTTTCCCACCCCACTGTCCCCTCCCCTCGTTTCTCTCCAATGGTGCTCTTGTTTTCTGTTACTGTTCAACATAAATCAGTGATGCAATTGTGTCTGATGTCTGTTTGTTTACAGATTGATAGTGTCATGTCAACAAGGCAGGCAAACGAAAATGACGCAAGCAGAAGGTTGAAGTCAGAGTTTCTGATACAGTTTGACGGAGTGACCTCTAATCCTAATGATCTGGTAATTGTGATCGGTAAGCTTTATATCTCAAATTCAATTAAAGGATCCCGAACTGGAAGGATGTGCTTTTTATTAGTACATTATGTCTAGTTTCTATGACAATCTTGGCTAGCTTGCTTCAAGAATGCCAATTGGTATATTACCATTTTTATTTGTAATCATTTAGGTCTTCTGCCTGTTGAGACTTTCATCAAGGAAATTGATGTTGACCCCTGTTAATAATAAATTTTAACGAAAAGAAAAGGTCAAGGGAAGTAGGGAGTGACTTGCCAAAGTTCTGAACTATTCTATTTTGTCTCAATATGGATCCTCACTTTGATATATTTTTTTTTAATGTTATTTCAGGTGCTACGAATAAGCCTCAAGAACTGGATGACGCAGTTCTTAGAAGACTGGTTACTCTCTTCCCCTTTAACTTTTATACATTGTTGGTATTCATTCTGTTGGCTTCCAGTTGCTTTTCTGATTAAACTCACTGTAATGGGGAACCCTGAACCAGGTAAAGAGAGTGTACATACCATTACCAGATTTAACTGCAAGGAGAGTTCTCCTAAGGCACAAACTCAAGGGCCAAGCATTTTCCTTACCAAGTAAGGATGCTCCTATAAATACTTTTGGAACTTTTCCTTGTATATGATTCCATTCCACCAAACCAAATAATAACCAAAGAAAGTGAAGCATGCAAGCATCCTTTTGCGCATTTTGGTTAGTCTTCTGAGTCACGTGATTTTTTACTTCTTATTGCTTGTATTAGGTGGAGATGTTGAAAGACTTGCAAGAGAGACAGAAGGTAAGAAATTTTTTTCCTGTTGTACTTTTTGAAGTGCTTTTCAAATGGCAGTGCTTTAATAAGTCAATTCAATTTGCAAAAGAAATTTGGCCAACATTGAGACACTTGGTGCTACCAATCTTAGTTCCACTCGTAGTGGTTGGTTGGTGGTTACCAGCCATTACTTTGTGCGGGTTTTTTATGGAATGGAACCTTATTCATCATCTTGGAATAAAACAATTATCATACTGGTTAAGCATGTCACTAGTTACTTTTATGTACAGGGTATTCGGGAAGTGATCTGCAAGCATTGTGTGAAGAAGCTGCAATGATGCCAATTAGGGAACTGGGTGAAAATATTCTCACCGTCAGGGCAAATCAGGTATTATACCTAAATAAATTGGTTTAAGAGCCGTGTATAAATACTTATTAGTGCTTGGTAGATATTTGCTAAAGGCACTTACACATGTTTACTTTGATGATCTGATTCGTTTCATGCAAGTCTTTCACTCTAGATCATGATTCATTCAAAATGCTTTTTTTTTTTCTTTTTTTTTTTATTAAGGTTTCCGTGAGGAACCTTTTTTATTTTACTATTGATGAGGATGTGGATGCCAAAGACACTCCATTAGCTACTCATAATATTTGTCATTGGTCTCAAACTTAAGCAAAGCGGTGGCATTCATCTGGTTTTCAGTATAATATTTATTTGATGTTCCCGGTGACTGTAAACTTGTTTGCAAAACAATTTTGATCTCAGTTTACTTTGTTATCTGTGTGCCAGGTACGACCGCTAAGATATGAAGATTTTCAGAAGGCGATGACTGTAATCAGGCCAAGCTTAAGCAAAAGCAAGTGGGAAGAGCTTGAGAGGTGGAACGAAGAGTTCGGCTCTAATTGAATGCCTATTACAGCATTGACTCTATGATGTCCAAAACATAGGATGTGGAGTTGGGACGAAGGACAATAAAAAAAAATGGAAAATCATATTTTGATCGTAAAAACTCCACACCTCAAAGACGCGAACTCGACTCTGCTTGTTCCTAATTGTTTGTATTCTTCGGTGCAAGATTGTACATAGTATTATGTAGTTGGGTTTACGATGCAGGAAGCCGCCAGAGATGTGCAGCTCGTGTAATTTAACAATTTATGACTTCAGTTGAAGTAGTGATAATCCAAAATATAAGAAGAATCTCAAGTTGATACATTAAGAAATCTTTGATAGCTGTTGTATGTTTTCGAGGATTGTTCATAATTGCAGCCGAACAGTCACTGTTGAGCGATACGATTGGTTCGGTTTGAGCTCGAACCAAACCAGTGGCAGTTTCATTGGTTTGGGCATGAGCAGTGAGCACAATGCTCTTCCTTACTATATCGCGGATTGGCTTGTCACGCCTGAGAAGATGCCATATTTTGTTACTATTTTCTGTTGTTCAATCGTTAGATGCTGGTTACCCTTCAGATTTCGAACTCAAAGCTTATTTTGCGCTTAAACAACTTATTACAATACAAATACTAAAAGCCTTGTTGGATAAACCCTTAATAATTGTTACATAGATGGTTTATCAGCACCTTGAGAACATGTGTCTGCAATGCAATAAGCAATTCAAGTAACAGGAAGAAAGGAGAAAATAACCAACATAAAAAAGAACAGAAAATTGCGACCTAGATATTAAACCAGCCAAAGTAGAGCTCTCCAACTGTTTGGGGCAGATTTTCAATTTCCTTTCACAATTTCAAATCATTTTTTGCCATAGCAAATCTCAACCAATTTCAATAAAATCGAATGGGTTTTGTTCTTTGTCATGTCTAGTTTCAAAAACATCAAAAACCCTTTCAAAAACACGCTATCAATTGATAGAAATTGAGAGCCAAAATAAGGCTTTAAAAAGCACGCTATAAAAACCCTTTCAAAACCCCTTTAGAGAGCATCTCCACCAGTTGGTGGAAGGCAAGGGCAAATGCAACAATGTCGCCCTCAAATCCCAAAAATACACCTTCAGCAGTCCAAATAAGCAAAGGCAAGTGGTGGGCCAACCACTACCAGCCCAAGTGCCCAGCATCTTGAGCCTGGTCTATTTGCCTTTTACCAACCGGTGGAAATGCTCTTATTGAGATAGTGGACTGGTCCAATGATTTGGTTTGTGTTCACAACAAAAGCCATCAGGAGATTCCTTTGTGGAACCCGTCAATTCAAAGGTTCAAGAAGATTCCTTCCCCAACTATTGAGGAAGAACCGGATTTATGAACGAGCTTTCACTATGGATCCGGGTATGATTCATCTGACGGGGACTATAACTTTTGAAAATTGTGGAGTTTACTGATACGGAAAGTGTAGCAGTAGTGGTGGTGGTGAGTTATCAAGTCAATGTCTACAGCTTAAAATCCAACTCCATGAAAAGGGTCCTAAACTTTCCTTCCAATGGTTTTGGATTCAACCAGGTGACATCGTGTGTTTGGACAGTGCTCTAATCTTTCCAACGAGAAATATCACAAATCTCCTGCACCTGTCCATGGGATGGGGATTAATATTCTACTCTTGATTTGGTGGTCTTGAGAGGCTGCTTATGCATCTGTGTTAATCATTTCAACGCCCAAGATTTAGCCACTCGAAACGATGTTTGGATTATGAAGGAATATGGAGTCACAGAATCTTGGAGTTGGAACCTGCTTTATTCTATTGTTCACGGGAATGTGCCTTGGGTGCTTGCTAGTAGTGAACCTTTGGTGCTTTCGATGGATAGTGAAACTGTTCTCTTTTGGTACGATTTACAGAAAAATAGTGTCAAACAAGTTGAAATTCATGGTCTGCCCCGTCGATTTATGCCACTATTTGTGTAGGGAGCCTTTGCCTTCTTGAGTGTGATCCTGTACTCGTTGGGAGGCAATACCAAATCCCTTGTACCTCTAAGAGAGGAAAGTTTCAAGAAGTGAAGGGTTTCTTGTCCTGGTGGTCGTCAAGGCAACTGAAGATGATCTCACCTTAAGGCAGAACACGATAAGGGTGAATTTCGGGTGTGTTTCAAGTATGTGAAGGTAGTATGCTCGTTTCTTTAGACTAGGCTTGCTGTTATTTGTATTGAACGTTTTCTGTTTATGGCAACAGAATTAGTTAGTGTTTTTTTTTTTTCTTAACAAACGATATTATCTACATTAAAGAGAATGAGATGGGTTTAGGCTCACAATGGGCTAACAATAATGTGACTCAAACTCGCCTTTGGTGAGAATCGAACCTAAGACCTCTCACTTATAAGTGATGAGGAATACAGTAAGACCTCTCACTTACAAGTGATGTTACAAGTGAAGAGGAATACAGTAAGACTTTTCACTTACAAGTGATGAAGAATATCATTAGACTGTAGTATTAAGTGGCAGAATTAGTTGGTGTTAGGTTGCCCACTTGTTTTCCAAGCCCTTGTTTTGTCTGGTTGCTCTTCTGGTGGTATCGCATGGTATCATGCATATTATAGGACTACAGTGAAAAACATAGAAGCTGAGAATTGTGCTCAGCAGTGTTACATTTAGGATAGAATGGCAAAATAAAACTCTTTATTGGTCACCTTAATATCATTCCTAATGTAGTAATGCTACACTTACTATCTATTTGTACCATCACTTGTACCATCTCTTTAATAGAGATAGGGCCCGTCAATGCATATGACTCTCATCTATTAGAGAGATGATACAAATAATTGTACAAGTAGATTGTAAGAATAACATTTTTTTTCCCTAATGTTTTCTTTTAAATCCTAATTAAATTTTGCTGGGAAATCAAAACTGATGCATTAACTAGTTTAAAACGTTGGTATTCATACTACGTAGTCTAATATTTTTAGTCTAGTTTACCATATCCCGATATCAGTTTTCTTTCTGAAGCAAAAACTGATATTTTCATTTATATCCAAACGTTGGGGATAATAAAGTTAGACTTTTATTATAAAGTAATATGCTATTGGCCAAATTTTTTTTATGATCCTTGTGGTGATAATTTACTTTTAAATAGACTTATGTAGTGAGAAAGCTATTAACTGTAATCCTGTGGTGAAATTCGTTATGCAACTCCAGCGTGGGAGCCCTCTCTCCAGGCTATTCACTATTCAATCCACCATGTGAATAGTAACCGCCTTTAGTGAACAGTAACTGCCTTTTGCATCTCCACCGTTGCACTTGAATAGCCCTGGCAATAGGCAATAAAATATAATTTTTTTAAATAATACAGAATAATTTTTTATTTGTAATTTCGGATAAGATTTTTAATCGTTCTCGTTGCACTACATGTCATTATTTGAAAAGATAATTATTGGTGATGGATTTCGATAAGATTTTTATCCAATGCAGTCGTGCCACGTGTCCTTACTTTTTCAGAATCTTTGATGATAGAATTCGATCAAATTTTTAATCGTTCTCGTTGCGCCACGTGTCATTACCTGAAAAGACAATTATTGATGATGGATTTCGATAAGATTTTTATCCAATGTCGTCGTGTCACGTGTCATTACCTTTTCAAAATCTTTGAGGATAGATTTCGATTAGATTTTTAATCGTTCTCGTTGCGCCACATTTCACTACCTGAAAAGACAATTATTGGTGATGGATTTCGATAAAATTTTTATCCAATCCCGTCGTGCCATGTGTCCTTACCTTTTCAGAATCTTTGAGGATAGATTTCGATCAGATTTTTAACGAATGATGACATGCCACATGGCACTATCTACAACCTAATCCGCTTCTGAATCCTCCATATAATCCATCATCCATCTCTGAAATCTCATACCTATTTTCTCAAGATCTCTATAATTATTCATAGTTTCTGCTTCCTTCTTCACCAAAATCAAAATCTGTATCATTATTCATAGTTTCTGCTTCCTTCTTACAATGTCTTATTCTTCAAGGATGATGTGGGAAATCGATTAGCAAGAGGAAGAATTGTTTAACCAATCAGAAGGAATGTTCAATGTCCAGGTAGGCCGAAATGAGATGGAAGAGGAGGATGAGCGTAGAAGGAGACATGACGAAGCAAGAATGGCCAAAGCCTTACATTCCCGTCGAGCCATCCAAGCTGTGGTTCAGATCTCCAGGCCCAGCCGTTCCGAAAACCTTGATAGAAACAGGCAACGACGAGGTGCGGAGTTGTTGGACGATTATTTTGTCCATAACAGTGCATTCCCTGATACGTACTTCAGACGTCATTTTAGAATAGAACGACATTTGTTCAACAAAATCATGATTGTTGTTTGCAACCATAATTCTTACTTGTGCAAAAAAAGGATGGTTTGGGTGATATGGGTCTCCTTCTAGAGCAAAAAATTACTGCTGCGATGCGGATGCTTGCATATGGAGCATCTGCAGACCAAGTGGATGAGATAGCGAGGATGGGGAAATCAACCATTCTTAAGTCCCTGATGAGGTTTTGCGGAGCAATCGAATCTATCTACACTGCAGAGTACCTTTGGCAACCTACTTAAAGGGACTTGAAAGGCTTCTGAAGAAGGCCGAGATGCGAGGTTTTCCTGGGATGATTGGGAGCATCAATTGTATGCATTGGACGTGGAAAAATTGTCCAAGTGCATGGCAAGGTGCTTATGGGGACAGAAAATGAGCAAAAAATATCATTTTGGAGGCGGTGGCATCTTTTGATACATGGATTTGGCACGCCTTTTTCGGGGTTCCGAGAGCTCAAAATGACCTCAACGTCCTTGCCCAATCTCCAATGTTAAACTATGTCCTGCAAGGAACCAAAAGTCACGTACTGCGTCAACAAACGTATGTATGACGGGCCATACTACCTAGCAGATGGCATTTACCTAAGGTGGTCAACATTTGTCAAAACAGTGCCACGTCCGTGAAGTGCAAAGGAAAAACACTTTGCAAGCTGTCAAGAGGGGTGCAGGAAGGATGTGGAGCATTGTTTTGGTATCCTCTAAGCTCGCTGGGCGATTGTCAGAGATGCTGCTAGATTGTTTGATGTACAATCACTTCGATCCATCATGATGGCGTGCATCATTCTTCACAACATGATTGTGGAGGATGAGTACGATTATGATGCCGTTGATGAATATGAGCCAAACACGATGAACAATTCAATAACACGTATATATTGTGCTCATGAAGCCACCGAAGAACCCATGCAACATGAGCCATTAGAAAGGGATGGACGTTACTATGGATTGTTCATTCAACGATATACTGCACTTCAAAGGCCATACATGCACAAT